TCTATATACAAGTCGAACAAGACTGCGCTTAACGCGCAACCTTGCCGCACTCCCTGATCTGTTCTGAAGCTTTCCGTAATTTTCCCCTGAGTCTGTACTTCCGCTCTCGTTTCCCTATAWATCYCTTTAATTGTCTCCATCATTCTACCTTCTATCCCTTTATCCTTCAACTTCTCTATCATCTTTTCCCTGTTTACCCTATCRAATGCTGCTTTGAAGTCAATTATATTTTTCTTTTTTTATGATATAAAGGTACATTATTAGAGATACTAGGTTGAATATTTGTTTTCAGAATGCCAATTATGCTTAGAAGTTCCAATTGCATATTAACTAATAAAACTTCATTTCAAATGTCTAAAATAAATGAGTGTCCACATGATCCTGGTGGTTATTTCATTATTAACGGTCAAGAAAAAGTAATACTTATTCAAGAGCAAATGCTTAGAAATAGGATCATTGTAGAAGAAGATAATAAAGGATGCACAATAGCGTTTGTTAATAGTTCCACGCAAGAAAGAAAGACTAAAACTACTGTAGTTGGTAAAAACGGAAAATATTACATGAGACATAATATTTTTCAAGATGTAAATATATAAAAAATTATAATGAATAATATACAACATTCACTTTAATGAACAAAATAAAAATTACTAATAATTTATTTTATTTTTTAGGATATACCTGTTTCAGTGGTAATGAAGGCAATGGGAGTAGTAAGTGATCTAGAAATAATGCAATTTATTGGTGCCGAAGAAGAATATATGACAAAATTTGCATTAAGTTTAGAAGAATGTCATACTTTAGGCGTTTTCTCTCAAAATCAGGCTTTAAGGTCTTTATTTACAATAAAATTAAATTAATATAATATACAAAATAAATCTAATCATGTTTCTTGTTTTTTTTTCTTAGATATTTGAGTAATAAAAGGAAGCAAAAAAGATATCCTTTAATCAAAGGTAATCTTACTGATGAGATAAAGGATATTTTAGCTACTAATATTTTATCTCATGTTCCTGTAAGTATTTTAAAAATATGTTTATACTATAATTATTAAAAATATCTATTTAAAAAATGGAAAATATTGTATGAAACTATAGGTCGTTAATTTCAATTTAACATCGAAAGCCATTTATCTGGGCTTGATGATACGCAAAGTCATACAAGTGCAGAATGATAGAAGTCTTGTAGATGATAGGGATTATTATGGTAACAAGCGTTTGGAATTGGCTGGTTCCCTATTATCTCTCATGTTTGAGGATTTATTTAAAAGATTTAATCGGGAGGTATGTCTAACATTATATTTTTTTATCTTGTGAAAAAAAAATTTACATATTACCACATTTTGTTTATTTGCAGTTAAAACAAATTGCAGATAAAAATATACCAAAAATAAAAGCGGCCCAATTTGATATTGTAAAGCACATGAGACAAGATCAAATTACAAATGGTTTAGCATTTGCTATAGCGTCTGTAAGTTAAAATTTACTATATATATATATATATATATATTCATTTAATTTATAAATATTTTACTAATTTAAATAATATACTATATATAATACATGTGTGTGAACAAATATGTTCAATATTGAAATATATTTAAATCCATAGGGCAATTGGGTTATTAAAAGATTCAGAATGGAACGCCATGGAGTAACTCAAGTTTTGTCAAGGTTATCATACATTTCAGCACTTGGTATGATGACACGCGTTAACTCGCAGTTTGAAAAAAGTAGAAAAGTATCTGGTCCTAGATCCTTGCAACCGTCTCAATACGGAATGTTATGTCCAAGCGACACACCTGAAGGAGAGGTAAAAAATATCTTTTATCAATCTTTTAATTTATGTTTCATCACATTTTTCATGCGATTTATTTCAACAGAGTTGCGGATTAGTTAAAAACTTAGCTCTTATGACACATATTACCACGGAAGTAGATGCAAAACCCATTGCAAGATTAATATACAATCTCGGAATTGAAAATATCAATATTCTTGGTGGAGAAGCTATCTATGATAATCGTAGTTATATGGTATTTTTAAACGGAAATATTTTGGGCATCGTCAGAGATCATCAAAGACTTGTTGATACGTTCAGATTTTTACGCAGACACGGTCGAATAAATAATTTTGTTTCCATATATACGCAACGTCAACATAGGTATATCTACAATTTTGGTTCTCATCTTTATTATTATTAGTTATATTTCTTTACTATTATAGCATAATCTAATTTCCTTTTTTTACAGATGCATTCACATTAGTTCTGATGGAGGCCGTTTGTGTAGGCCGTATATAATCGTTAAAAATGGACAACCACTTGTTACGAGTAATCATATTGAATTGTTGGAAAGAAAAGTGATGAGATTTGAAGACTTTTTAGTAGAGGGTAAGTATACAGTGTAAAGATAACTAAAAAATGATAATAAATAAATTACTTAATGTTCTAATTGTATATTTAATATTCTCACTTATACAGGTTACATTGAATATTTAGACGTGAATGAAGAAAATGATAGTCTTATAGCGTTTGACGAAAAACATATAAATGCGAACACGACACATTTAGAGATTGAACCTTTTACATTATTAGGAGCTTGTGCCGGTTTAATACCATATCCGCATCATAATCAAAGTCCAAGAAACACTTACCAATGTGCTATGGGTAAACAAGCTATGGGAGCTATTGGTTACAATCAATGCAATCGCATTGATACACTTTTGTATACTTTAGCATATCCACATGTACCAATGGTTAAAACACGTACAATAGATCTCATTAATTATGACAAGTTACCTGCTGGCCAAAATGCAATAGTAGCTGTTATGTCTTACAGTGGATATGACATTGAGGATGCTTTAATTTTAAATAAAGCTTCTATTGACAGAGGATACGGAAGATGTTTAGTATATCGAAGTGCTAAATGTAATTTAAAAAAATACCCTAATCAAACGTATGATAGAATAATGGGTCCATTGGTAGATTCAAATACAAAAAAACCAGTATGGAAGCACGAGATCATTGACAATGATGGGATTGCTGCTCCGGGTGAAATGGTAGAAAATAGAAAAGTATTGGTAAATAAATCTACGCCATCCACCGCCGATTCAGTTAATCCTGCTAATGCACAAAATGAAACAGAATATCGTGATACTCCCGTACTATTCAAAGGTCCAGTTCCTGCTTATGTAGAAAAAGTTATGATTACTAGCAACGCAGAAGATGTATTTTTAATAAAACTATTGTTAAGACAAACTCGACGACCTGAAATAGGTGATAAATTTAGTAGTCGTCATGGACAAAAAGGAGTAACGGGTACAATCTCATTCTTCATTTTTTCTTTCCCTCTTATTTACATAAAATAGAAAATATTTTTCATTGCAATTTTATATGTAATAATTATATGTTAATGTATTTCCACGTAGGTTTAATAGTTGAACAAGAAGATATGCCATTTAACGATTATGGTATAGTTCCTGACATGATTATGAATCCTCATGGTTTTCCATCCCGTATGACGGTTGGAAAATTACTAGAATGTCTCGCTAGTAAAGCAGGCGTTCTTGAAGGAAAATTTCATTATGGAACAGGTAAATTTATATAAAAACATAAAAACTAAAATGATTAAGAGATGAGAGTATTGTAAATAATTACAAATTATATTCTCGCAGCATTTGGTGGTTCCAAAATTGAAGATCTACGAGAGGAACTCATTAATCATGGTTTCAATTATATGGGAAAGGACTTTTTTTATTCTGGTACTACTGGTGAACCACTTGAAGCGTATATTTATTCTGGCCCTGTAAGATATCTAATATAAAATCTTTTATTTTTATTTTTATAAGTAACTTTAGAATTGTATGAATATTATTTATTCAATATTAAAAATATTTATTTTTTTCTTGAACAGATATTTTATCAGAAACTCAAACATATGGTACAAGATAAAATGCATGCTCGAGCTCGTGGACCCAGAGCAGTCCTAACGCGTCAACCAACGGAAGGTCGTTCTAAGGAAGGTGGTTTACGTTTAGGTGAGATGGAACGTGATTGCCTGATCGGCTATGGAGCTAGTATGATGTTAGTGGAAAGACTGATGATATCAAGTGATGCGTTCGATGTTGACATTTGTAATAAATGTGGTCTAATGGCATACAGCGGTTATTGCCATAGTTGCAGATCTAGCTCTTGTGTTTCAACTATTTCCATGCCATACGCTTGCAAATTACTGTTTCAAGAATTGCAATCTATGAATATTGTACCTCGTTTAACATTGAAACATTATTGTGATTAAATATAAGTATTATTTATGATCATTTACGAATAAAAAGAATTAATTTGTTTCGTACGAAATTATTGTATTCAATTGATTTCATCGATATGATTTTTTTCCATTAATTAAATGACTACAATTTAATATATATATATATATATGTAATTCTCTCTCTCTAGTCTTTTCGTAGTAGGAATTATGAGAAGAGAATAAATCTCATAAGTGCAATATCAAATCGTGTAAAATTATTTTAAGTTGAATAAAAGACAAGTGTCTTATGCGATGAAAGTTGACTACGCGTAAATTCTAATATAAAAGTCGTTAAGCAACCGGTAGTGTTGGTGTAACAATAAAATAATCAGGCAATGAAAGTAGAAGAGGAAGAAACTATATAATCAGATTTTTATTGCACAACTTACCAAGTTTTTTACAATGTCTTATCATTATTTCACTTATAATTATCTCAAATTTTTGGTTTACTCTTAACACACCCCTCGTCTACCACTAATTATCACCAATCTTAAAATTATACTATCTAAAAATGATAACTACCAAAATCTTACTCGAGTTCGTCTTCGCCTTCCCTCCCATCCTCCTCTACTCTCCTCCTTTTACACAGCTCCTCTACTTCCCTGAAAAATTCACACATCCCAACCTGAATCTTACCGCCTAACATGTTTATTAATTCCCCGAAGAGGAAGAAACTATTAATTATACATATGAACAGATCGACTGAATAAATTTAATGGAATTAAGAAAGGCGGCAAAGAAATTAAAATTATCTACAGCGGACAAACAAAGATTAAGAAATTGCTTAACACGTTCCGTCCCGCGTAACCCGTACTTGGATTACGGGCATGTTTCTGTGGGGCCCGCGTAACCCATATATGGGTTACGCTTTTCTTGTTCAAGTTAAATATGATTTTCTGTTGCATTTTGAAAACAAATTTATTGGAACAAGTTCTGAAGTATAAATATAGAATATACAACATGAAAATTTAAAAAATACACAAATAAAACTCTATTTTTTATTAATTTATATAGGATAAGATATTACATTATACTATGTCGTATGATATTCGTTGAAACAGTCCAAGCACATCTGTGGCGATTTTGGGCAATTCAAACAATAAGTTGTCGTTTTTTTAAGGTTTTCTTTTGCTTGTTGGCGTCCTACGTTTTTCCTCTTCTTTTGGTAACACAGTACGCACATCCTTCTTACAAGCTTGCCCTGCTGATTCTTGTGAATCTCCAAGTGGTGAGACAGATTCCTTCTTTCGTGTCTATTAGTGTTGGGCACAGTATTTTTTGAGGACAACCATTTTGTGACTAAAAATTCACGAAATTTTCTTATCTCTATTTTTTGTGTGTAGCTCTCTGATACACAATATGTGCGTTTACGATCGTCGTCCCTAAAAGTAAATATATTGCCAATTTGCGATATTATTTGATGCTTTTTTGTATGATTGTTGCATATGACACCATCTGGTCGCTTCTGTCGCCACTTTTACCAATGTTGTACTCTATTATCGCCAAAGGATTCATTTTCGAAGGACGACCGCGATTTGTAGAATCAGAGCTTCGAGTCATGATGGGAGGATGTTTTGTGGATAAGCGATAAGCGTTTCAAAATCCAAAATAAACTTACATATAAGATTTCGGAACAAAACAATTTATAAATTTCATAGGTCGATAGTAATTTATATAAAGATAATCGACAATGCACGGACCTACTAGAGTTATATTGTTTATATTCCCGCATATCTCTCCGCTATCGTTCTAGCGCGCCGACAGTAAAACTTGGGCCGGCAGGAAACTCAACGAAATCACGCCTGGTACGGAACGTGTTAAAGGATGCGATGGAAGATAAATAATGTGAGGACGAGGAAGAAGAGTTCGTGGAAGATAGACGAAGCATCGGAAGAGGAGCAGTTGATGTTATTACGCAATAATTCGCTTCTTTCACTATAAGAGATGTAGAAGACGTAGTCATCATTGGATCCATGACTTTGAAGATAACAGCGCATTATTGAATTGGAACGAGTTGCAGAAGTTTGTGTACGGAAAATGTATGCTGAAGGTTCATTATCTTTAAAAGAAAAATTAAATCATGGGACGAGCGCCTCCATGCCAAATACTTAAATAGAGATTCGTGAAAAGATTGGACGGCGGGCCCTGGATAACTCAATGGATAAAAGCAGTCACCTGGAAAATGAAAGATCCCTGGTTTCGAGTCCCAGCCCAGTCAGTCCAGCTCAATTTTTTCACGAATCCTACTTATAAATATTTTATTTTCAGTTTTGTATATACATATATATATATTTTAAATAATTTATCATTTATTGTAAGTATAATAATAAAATATCTTTTTCTTTTTTAATTTTTACATTTTATCTCAATGCATTATTAATCTTTAATAGTCTATAATATATAAAAACATTCTCTGATATATTGTTCTTGTATTTATTAGTAATATCATAGCATTAAAATAAAAATAAAATAATAATAGTTTAAATTTAAAAACATGTGTAAATATATACACGTGCGATATATAATTGTATATATATATATATATATATATGTATGTATATAATTATTCTTTTTAATTAATTCGACATCATAGAAATTCGGCACGTAATTTAATTTCTGGATCTTCTATATGCCTTTTACTTTGTATTAAGCGTAATTCTATTTTTTGTGCAAATTGTGCTCCATCATCTTTATATTCTGAAAATTAAATAATTAACGACATATATAAATATGTGTATTTTAATTAAAGAAACAGAATTATAAATATAAAATTTACCTTGGAATGATCTAAAAGTTTCACAAAGAACACCTTGTAAAGAATTTATTGTCTTTTCAGTGGCAGTTTTGATATTCTCTTGTAGATATGTATGAGCGAGAAATAAAGCAGCAAATAAATCACCAGAACCAGTAAAGGTCGATGGTATTTTTGGAATATCAATTTTAAGCAATATATCATCTGTAAATGAAAAATATGTGTTATCAGTGAACACACATGGGAAAAGTGAAACTTCTTAGACTTATTTAACGCTGTGTATACAAATAAGAAGTTTCACTTCAGTAAATTTATAAATATAAAGAAATTAATTAATATTAATTCTTGATATAAACATTATTCAACACTATATACTATCCATTGGCATCATGTTGGTGTCACAATTGGACAAATGATGGACATCAAAGCGTTATAATTACCTTTCAACGAACTGATTACTGCCACTACGCAATTATTCATTTCTACAGATGATACAGCTACAGTTTGTGGTCCCATTTTATGTAACTCTTTTATAACAGTTCGCAACTCATTTAAATTATTAGCACTTTTACCAGTTAACAATCTAAAATAAAACACGTATCATTCATAATAAAAAGAAAATGGGATCGTCAATGATAAAATATTATAAAGGGTGAATGTACATTTAAATTTGTACATACTCCGTTTCAAATTGATTTGGAGTTACAATATCTGCCAGTGGAACTATTTCATTTTTGTAAATATCTTTTAATTCCTTAGGAACGTACATCTGACCATTATCACCCATAACAGGATCGCATACTACAAATAATCATTGTTATCAGTTATAATGAATAAATGTGAGACAAATAATTATACCATATATGAGATTAGGATTTTTGCGTCTTAATGTTTGAACCAACGCAGCTATTCTTTTTAAAAATGATGCAGATCCTACATATCCTGTTAGTAGATGAGTATAATGATCCAAATTATTTTCTGCTAAACCATAAACCAAATCATCTAAAATATAAATATATACATATATATATTTTATATTAGATAATATATAATATATCATAGAAAATATATTATATATTTTTAATTATACTTATATATTTTATACGCAACAAATAATAAAGCTCATTATTGTAAAATTGTTTTTACCTATATCTTTATCATTAAGTACTTGGCCTTTAATAGCTTTATATCCTGTATGATTTGATAATTGAACAGAGTTGATAGCATCTACTTCAAAGCCCAATAACTAAAAATAGAAATCAATTACATTTTTAGAAATAAATGAAGAAATAAAAATATAAATTTTCATACTTTAAATGATAATTAAATTTCGTATTTACTTGCAGAGGAAACGTAGCACTTTTATTACCAACATATCCTGAAACTACATGACTTTGGATCGAGAGAATCCGAGGAATTTTTTTCGAATTCATATTTTTACTTTTCTACTCAAAGTTCTTTTAACGAATATTGTCGATGTACTAAATCTACTGATATGAGATAAGAAATAATCACGAGCTATTTATTTCTCGTTGATTAGAAGAATTGCGCATATTGTCTAGTGGAAGAAAAAAATGAAGTCATCATGAGAAACGATTAAGGTGTATTAAAGATTCCTACTTTACTGATTGTAAGTATAAACGATTTTACCTAACTACTTTATTTGTTAGTTCGTTTTTTTTATATTTTGTACTCACCGAAGAATATTAAAATTAATCTCTCAATTTTTGTATTATAATATTGATTATAACACATACAAATTATAAATTAAATAATAATAATTAACTTTTGGACTGAATGTAATAAGATTAAAAATAATGGAATGGTATAACTTAATATATCATTTAGTTTACAGAAATATTAAGATTCTTCATATTGTTGAGATATGAATAAATGAATTATTTAAAATTCGCGCTAGAAAATAATAATCTTCTATAACTTATCTACGATTGGCAGAAATAAATAAAGAAATAAAGAAAGGAAAAGAAAGAAAAAAAAAAAGAAGAAAAAAAGAGAAAAATTATATTTTTGTAAAATAATTTTGAAGTGTGGTTCCAATGTGGAGATAGTATAATATCATCTACGTTCATGTTACCTCATGATTTGTTTGTGCAGGCCTAAAAAGTATGGCGACGTGGGAAAGTGATAATATAAATGACGATGAAAATGCCGATGGTATTAATGATAATTTCAACGATATTATTGTCGTACCTGATTTGCAGGATTACTTGGACGATAGTTTAGATTTACCTAGTTTCAGAAAAGTTTACGAACAATCAGATGTATTTGAATATGGAAAACACTCCGATGATGAACATGTTAATAATGAAAGGCTATCTAACAACAACAGTACAGGGTAAGGTTGGATAATTTTTTTTAATCGATATTTATAATAACTGATTAATTTTATTATCAAAAATTAGATATATTTTAACAATTAGAATTTAAATGAATTAACGTTACCACCAAAAATCTCGATGTTATCCATACGTATCTGAAGATTTTGCGTCGTTTCCTTATAAGGATTGAGTAGTTTTGAAATTGGATTCTTATATTTTGTATACTTTCAATGTTTGATCATTCATTGTGTTTGATATATTTTCTTTTATTATTTTTTAATAAATTTTTCATTCATAATTTATTTCCAAAATGTGTTAGAACATGATCTTGAAATGTTTTATATATGATATAAATGATATTTTTTCTTTACAAAATTTGTATAAGCCTATTTCTTTGTGTAAAATAATATTGTTATATATTATATTTAGGCACGTCCATCATACAATTTGTCCTCAAGAAATTCATATGCATATTCATTCCAAAGAAATTTATACGTCATCCGATGATCCCCTGCATAAAACTATCGTCAATAATAATGTAGACATGGATACCAATCAAAAGCATATTAATCGTTATAATTGTGAATATGAAGGATGTCCTAGAACTTATAGTACAATTGGAAATTTACGCACTCATATTAAAACTCACAAAGGTAAGAGTTTCTCTCTTCATTTACGTTTAACTAAATAAGTTTATATGAATGCAGTGTTATCTATCAATTTGCTTATAAGTTAATTTAAATCTTTTTTTTTTTTTATATAACAATTCGCTTGTTTAACATAGTATTTATTTTACCATCAATATTCTTTTACTTATATATATATATTCATCTAAAATAATGTATAATGTATTCTAATAGTACCGAATACATCTATACATTTTCTTTTATCCATTAGCGTGTTGTTAGTTCAAGCAAATTACGTGTCTTGTTTAACATGCTTCAGTATCTTGTCATTTTTGTTTTTCTTCTAAAAAAAAAAAGCAATTGTATATTGTTAACTATAGTTGGAAGTTATTATTAATGCTATGTTTGTATAATTATATATAAATGAAAAAGAATACAAAAGAAAACAATAATGACTTTTATACTAATAATAATCTTCGTGTTAGTGCTATCAAAGGATAGATTGATAAGGTAAGTTTGTATATTTAAATTTCTATATTATTGTTAATATATGAAATGTACAATGCTTTATGTTTTTCAAAATTGCCGCTTATATAGTCTTGATTCAAAATTATAGCGTCATCATTGTGTTTGTATAAAGGGAATGCTTTGACCTGCATGGCTTTCAGATGCCGCAAGAAAAGGTAGCCCCACAAATTTTTATATGTGGAGGGATTCTCAAAACTTTCAGGCGAGTTTCGATTTAAATGTGCAGAGCCAGGTTGTGGAAAGGCTTTTCTCACATCATACAGCCTAAAGATTCACTCTAGGGTACATACAAAAGTAAAACCATTTGAATGCACCCACAAAGGCTGTGGGAAAGCATTTAATACCCTTTACAGATTGAGAGCTCACCAAAGACTTCACAGTGGCAATACATTCAACTGTAAAGAAATTGGCTGTATTAAATTCTTCACTACTCTAAGCGATCTCAAGAAACATGTTCGTACTCATACTCAAGAAAGACCTTACAAGTACGTTTGAGAAATTTAACAATCTAGGGTATTTCTTTTAACCCTTTGACCGCGAACAGTAGAAGTCACTCTCTCTATACAATATTTTTGTACATTACATAGATAGTATACATTACATATAATGTAATACATTTTGTACACACATATTACAATAATATTTTGTTTCTGAGTACTTTGTAGTCAAAGGGTTAGAATTTCCTTGTAAACTCGCTTAAACATTTGACAACATATTTTTTTCTTCTTCTTTATTAGCTTTATTAAATATTTTAGCATATAAATGAATTTAATTGTACATATATATATATTAATTTTTTTTCTTTCTTTTTCTGCAATATTTAAAGGTGTAGAGAAAAAGGTTGTGGAAAAGCTTTTACAGCTTCACATCATTTAAAAACACACAAGAGAACACATACAGGTGAACGACCTTACACATGTACCTATAAGAATTGCAAACGATCGTTCACTACTCCTCATAGTTTAAAGAGTCATATTAAAACTCATAATAAGATTGTTAATAACGAAGACGTGGTAAGTAATACATTAATATATAGTACTTGGAAATAATTTATTAAAAAACAATAGATAATTACAAAGATAATAAATATTTAATGTTAATATAATAAATTTTTTTCTTATCCAAAATTTCCTAATATTATTACTAAGTTTAATTCTTAGGGATGTTTCTTTTTTTGGACAGGTTTAAATTAAATGAACAATCTATTTATCCGTTGAACGTTTCGTCCCAAATATAACTTAGTAATAATAAATATTTAATATTGATGCATGCATATATTGTTACAGAGTCAACAAGATTCAATAGACAATAGTATTGAAAACCAAAGAGATAAATCCCAAATTGTAAAGGATATAGGAAATGAAACGGATTGTGTCAATGATGCAACAACTGCATCGTCTTTTGATATTTCATTACCTTCGGATGACGCACAAGAACATAAAAATATAGCGTATATCGCGGCTGAAGATAGCAACGAACACATATCTGAAACTTCGATATTAAATATTTTGAACGATAATTCAATAAATAAGGAATTAGAATATAACATTGACAATGAAATAATAAATTGTCCAAACGAGACTATAACTGTTAATCTTCTTTCAACTGATAATATTCTTAATAGCTTTGATCGTCAGACAATTTGTAATTTTGATAACAAAGATTATAAAAAATTTCATCAAGTCGAGGATTCCAACATGAAGTCTAACATAACAGATATAATAAAGGTTGAAAACGAAATATACGAGCCTGAAGTATTGCCATGTTCTTTGAACAAATTGCACAACGATATGAATGATCATAAATCGCCTAATCCGTTAAATTTAGAACAGAAAATTATCCAAGACGGTTTACAAAGTACGATAGCCGAGATTTCGGAAGGTACACATTTTAATAGTAAACCATTGGTTCGTGAAAATGATTTTATTAATAATCTGATGAATGAAACGTTGAAAAATAAAAATGATAATGCAGCTACATTATACGACAGCGATACTAGTCAAGACAGAAATATATTGAATTCATCAGACACTGTGCAGCTTTTTAATGAAGAATTAGAAAACCTTTCATTCATCCATGATGCAAAACTACAAACGGAATCTCTCGAAATAATGACTCATTCCTTGGCATCTAACGCATTAATAAATGGCCCATCAGAGGCTGTGGAATTAGCTATAGCATCTGAAGAAGAAATACCTTCAGCTTGGGTAGATGTTACAGCATTGGCTACAGCACCTGTGCTCAAGACTGAATCTTGGTCAGAATTGAACGCCTTTCCTACAGCGGTACATTCGTTAGTAGATTTAGTAGGACCTGATCCTTATCCATTAGAAATAGAAAACCAATTTCATACTGCACACAATTTAGAAATGGTTAATGCAGTAAGTATAGATACTGCTATTTCAAACCCCATTGTAACTAAGTCTAAAGAAAATGAAAATGACGTACATAAGGTTGATTACTTAAGATATAAAAAGCATAGAAATGTTTTACAAGAGATTGCAGCCGATGCAGACATTTGTAAATGCATTGATTGTAAATGTAATCACTTGCAGAATTGTCAAGATTGCACTAACAACTCTACCGTATCTGGTATTGCCAAAAAAGATATATCACTGATAAATATTAATAATGAATGTTTATTAGAATGTGCTTGCAATTCCATTTCTGGAAATGGTGAATCTTGTTGCGTGGTAGTTTGCTTGCAAACTTTACAGCAGCTTCAAAAAATATTTAATGCTAATTGTTGTAGAGACGCTAACGCCGATATTTGTTGTAAAGAAAAATCTTTGTTATCATCGTTAAAATGCCAATTGACTAAGAATCAATGAAGAGTACAAAATCGTGTGAAATAAACTAGTCATTGAAAAAGAAAAAAAAGTACAGTGTAAACTTATGTATAAAAAAAAAGAAAAGAAAAGAAGAAAAAAAAAGAAATATTTGTAATTCAGTAATCGATACACTACGTTGCTTAGCTTTAAATTTAATTTAAGCAATTAAAATGTCTTTATAGGTTTTTACATAGAATAAATTAAGAAAATATGACTGCATGCACATATGCATATTTATTAATATATATGTATGTATGTGTGTGTGTGTGTGTTTATCGCGTGCAATATTTAACAAGATTTCTTGATAGATGCAATATATAAGCTGTGAGATTCTTATGCCAAAATGTTGATAAATTTTTTTACAACATTTTTATATATACCGTATTATATTAATTATTGCACAATATCAATTAGTAGAAATGCATTTTTGATATTACATATTAAATATGGCTATAAATCAGTACAAATTAAATTAATATCATATTAATATATTTGAAAAAGAAATGTAAACAATAATGTATTTTTTTTTCTATCTTAAAAATTTGTGCACAATCAATCAGAACTTTTATTATTCTTGATACAAATATATTAAATACGAAAGTAAAATTGTGTTAAATATAAATTGTGCATCATATTAAATAATTGTAAATTATTATAGCAAAAAATATTAAAAGGAAATTATTTATTATTTAATTATATTAGCGAACGTTTATGTATTACTGTATAATTATATTGTACAGAGTGCCAAATACTTATACACCATGCCTAAGAAAAACAAATGTTGGATATTTTTAAGTAATATATT